GGGAGAGCAGAGTACTGTAGCTGTACTATTACTTTCACTAATCAATTCATTGTTCTAAATTGTTTTGCTTCTACAAAAATGTATGGATGATAGAGATCAGGAGAAGCATGCAGCTTATTGCTTCAGTAATATTCCGTTCTACTAAAACATATCTTTACTAAAATACAGAGTACTGCTGTATTGTACAAATTACTTGTTTGGTATTATCTTGGACTCTCTTGTGTATAGACTTTAAACCACAGAATTACACAATGCAAAGGATTAAAAGATTTCACGTAACACAAATAGTATTTAAAAAACACACACCACCCACTTTACAGTAGTTTATTTAGAATATAAAGAAAGTATGTTTTGGCTGTGGTTTTAAATTCAGCATGTTGTATCTGGTGAAAGCTGTTTATAGTGTGTGCATCTTCATAAGCGGAAGTTTTTCGGAAGAGGTTTTTATGTGTTTTTGAAGAATCAGAAACTAGAAAAGTAAATCCGTGGGCTAGGGAATATGGGAGCAGAATTATCGCTGAGTAGGAATATTTACATTTCTTTTTGCAAGGTAGGCAACAAAATCTGTTGAAAGCAAAAAATAAATCTTTTTGTATAAAGACATCAGTACTAACAATGGAAAAGTTTTCCACCAACTGGCCTATACTCCTGGGAAAGAAGCTTGCTGTTATAGACGTTACAGTAACTAACAGCATAATACCCTTAGTACTCCTTTTAAAATAAATATGGAACATGGACTTAAATCCTGCCCAAGTAGTTTAAGTATCATGGGAAATTGTACACTTTGTGGCCTAGTCTTCTTCCATTCCAGAAAACATACTTCTTGATTTGATAACCTTTTCTTTTCTTTTCCTATTTATGCAGTATAATGCTGTTGCAATCAAAAATACTGTTGGGTTCTCTACAGTTTTCTTACATGAAGTAATAGTGCTTAGAATTGATCTCTATACCACTTACTGTTTTTTTTAAGTACATCAAAGACAATTATGCTATAGTAATCGCCATTCTGCATGTTGTCAAAGAAAAGTATACAGTTTCTGCATGTGAACAAAATATATCCCTTTAATCTTTTACTATTTGGGTTTGAGCAGGGGAGCCTTGCGTCGTGCCGGTTTTCAGTCTGTGACAAGATTCAGGTTCTGTTTGGATGATGAACAATTGGAAGAATGTGCTCTCTCTATGTATTCTTTGACTTAACCAAGTTCAAAACCTATTATTCAACCAAGCACTGTAATAATTCTTCTGCCTATTACCTTATTAAATCTCTCAGATTATTCTATCAATGTATGGAAGATTAACTCCAAACAAAACTGTGAGGCCAAGGGGAGAGGGAGCCTTATCCAAGCATGATGAACCCCTATAAATGTAACATCTTATATTGCAGTTATCTTTGTATCCTAAAAAGAAAAAATAAAATCGATGTTGTCATTAAAATAGATAAATTCTGTACTTGGAGACTTAGGATCCTTTTAAGATGTTGAATTCCAGGTGTTGGATTCCAGGATGCAAAAGAGTATTCTAGATGTAGTCTAATAAATGCTAAGTAAAGGGGATAATCGCCTCCCTCAATCTACTGGCTCTGCTCCTTTTAGTAAAGCCCAGGTTGCTGTTGTCCGTCTTCTCTGCCACAATGCAGTGCTGGCTCACATTCAGCTCACTGCCCCCAGGTCCTTTTCTGCAGAGCTGCTCCCCAGCCACTCTGTCCCAGCCTGCATTGTTGCCAGGGGTTCCTCCTTTCCCAGGTACGGGACTCTGCATTTGCCCTTATTAAATTTAACGTGATTCCTGCTGGTCCGTTCCCCTAGCCTGTCTGTCTAGGCCCCTCTGAATGGCAGCCCTGCCTCCCAATTTGGTGTCATCTGCAAACTTGAGGAAAGTATACTCTTTTGCATCCTCCAGGTCATTGGTAAGGATGTTAAACAGGAATAGAAATTCATAATTGCAACTACATAAAGAGGAAGAGGTGCAAAAACTTACACATTTTTTTTAATCTTACCTTTTCTGCCCTCTTTTTATTTACACTTAGATAATAATGTAAAATACAATCTTAAGCTGCTTCTGTATGACTACCTGCTATTGATCGTTAACATGACAGTAACATGTAGATAAGGTCAGAATATCCTCCCATCTTCCTCTACTTTCTCGTGGCTATTGAATAAGGAACTTTAAAAGAGAAACCAATATCATCAGGCTTTCTACACGTCGCTTTTGGTGAAATTTTTTTTTTTTTTTAAAAAAAGCAATGAGATGCAGTTTATCTGCTCAAGTTGAGTGGCTGAGCAGAGCAGTGCTAGTATCCATTGCTTCTGTTGAAATGCATCTACAGTCCATTTGCCAAGTGAAGGCAGAGAGATGGAAGGCAAGAATTAGAAAACAGTTCTAAAACAGGCATTCTGCAGCATTACAAATTGCACAGTACAATTAGTAAATTTTAGACAGTATGTATAATAAAAGGTAATTCAAACCTCTGACTTCAAAATTGTCTAGTATATTTATATAG